ATTTGGAATTCCGAATGTTCTTACAGTCAAAAACTGTGTCATATAACTAAACTCGTTTTGGTGGGCACCACATCACAAGTACAATGGAAACTTCTCTTTTGTTGACAGGAGACTCATTTTAGGTGCCAATGTTTGTCCTGCCTTTTGTCTTATGTTAAAGTTGTTTGATCTTGTAAAGATTAAGAAGATCATGTTCTAGATTTTAAATGTGAGAGTTGAATTATTAATGGTTTGTGAATAAACAACGAAGCCACATTTCTTCTACCAAAAGCAATCTAGTATATTCTCAGAAATTTTGAAGCTCATTAAAATCAAGTGTCATTTAAAGTTTTTCCCTAATTCATCGAGAGCTTTTTATTTTCTTCATGATTTGTGACACAATTATTTCTCAAATGGAGAAAAGGCAGGGCCACACACAATCTGTTGATTGCATTCTTTGTGTGTGTCTTATGTCTACTGGTAGTTTCCAAGCAAGCCTTGATTTTTTTAAAATTAATTTTTCACATTCAGTGTGCCAAGTCATATCGATAGTTAGGGAACACTTCTCCTTCCACATTGTATTATAATAACCTGTTCATTTTGTTTTGTACTAGAATATATGGTTTCATTAATGAAGATTAAATAATGACGGTTATTTTCTTTTGTTTTAAGCAGGGAAGTTTTAGTGACAAACATATTCCTAATTAGTAAACCCAGGATCTTTTTTTTTTTTTTTTTAAGTAGTCATCATTTCTCGTCATATGGGAAATCAGGTGGGTTAAGGGAAAATTGGCTAACTATGGAAGAATTGTACAACAGGCAAAAGCATTTCATCTATAAGGAACATGTGATGCATGATGGTGGCCTTTTCCCCTATGTCCCTGTATTTAGATGTAATTAATATTGTTGGATTTTATTTTCAAATTGGAGGTCTTTTTTTTTTTAATGAGTATGTAGGATAGAGGCGTCAGCAGTTAAGCACATACATCCTATCAAAATATATCACAAGATCATAGAAAAAAGCTTAACCTGCTCTGATAATTAGTCTAAGTGGTGTCAAATAGTAGATTTATCTTTAAAATTTTTAAATATTTTAATGTGGCTTTCAACGTCTATAAATCAGTCTCTTCAATAATGAATTTCTAGAATAATTTACATACATTTGTACAAAGTATGTGAGTGTAAATATAAAAGAATTGTGTCATAAATAAAAATATACACTGCTACATTGTGAAAACAGGATGAAACCAATGCATTCACATATTTTAATGACATAAGTTGCATAAATGCAAAATGTGTATTTTGATCATCGTAGCTTATGCGAAAAGTTAAATAAAAATGTGATGATTTTGTTGGAACAAGAAAATGTATGCCCACATTATAATTAACCAGTAGTTAGGTATGATTTTAAGAGCTTCTAGACTCTAAATAACAAAATGCTCCTATTTCTATTTTAAACTTAAGTGTCTGTAAAGCCACTAGATCAAATATTCAAGATGGGTATCATTGACTTTGTGCTTCAAACCTTAGATCTAACAAGTGAAAATGAAAAACATTTGGATATGGTTAAAGAACAAAGAAACAAGAGGATGGAGAGTAACCAATTCAGAAAATAAGGAACAGTTGGTTTACTCTAATTAGAAACATCTTGGTGTTTCTTTTTTTCTTTTGTATGTACCAATTCAACGTTTGATGGGAAATTAACTGTTTATCCTAATTATAGGAATTAATTCTTTGCAGCTCCTCTGAGGTGACTTTATGTTTTCTTTAAGCTCCACAATCTTAAAAGTTAGTTGCAGTTTATATTGGCCTCAAGTCTTTCCTTTGGTATAGTGAACTAGTTCACTTTTTGTTTCCTAAAACTGAGTATCTTTTTTCTGTTATCACCTATATGAGAAGATCAGGTCAATATTAAAAGTTCAACTGATCAACAGAGGCTTACCCTTGTAGACTGAGTTGTGCCAAGATGTGGCTGGACAACTAAGAAACTAATGGATCACACTGTCTTGAAATGTTTGATACTATAGTATACGAAGTTACACTCAAATATTTCAAGGAAAGAGACACTATGGTAACTACTATTATGTCAAGTTATTTGGTGGTGAAACACTATGATGCTTAAATTGTTCTGTTCTGATCTGTGTTGTTCTGTTGTTATGTCCTCTTATCTCAATCTCCCCTTTTTTTAAAAAAAAAATTAATTTATTTTTTCTTATTATTTTTTTAATTAAGGGGAAAATAAATTTAAAAATAGTGGGATATAGTATAGTAACTTCTTTGTTTTCCTATTAACCTGATTTGAACCCCTGTATTGCTCTCCCCATCTTGTTTTGATTGATTTTACTCTGTTTTGTTTCGTAGTATCAAGTTTGAGGGTATAGGCAACCACTTTGAAGGCAATAAGGTTTACTATGATGCCCATTATGGTTTGACTATTATCTTCTTTTAAAGTCCTGTAAGGTCTCCAATGTTTAGGTTTTATTGGTTTTGTTCTGTACTGTTTTGTTCAATTCTATTATACCTGATGATATAGGCAACTCTTTTTAAGATAGCAAGAGGCATAATGGTAACCATTGTTGATCACCTGGTATTCTGTTTTTACATCATGTACTATGTCCATCCTTCTGTTCTAACTGACTCTGTTTTGCTTTGTCACATTTGGTTTTTTTCTCTTCAAAAAAAAAGTAATAAGAACTGTGGGAATAATAAAACCCAAAATGTGTGATTGTTATTGTAAAAAAGAGAGGAAAAGAAAGTGCTCTAAAGGATATAACTACATGTATATTTAAGTGTGTAAGATAGAAAACCATATTACTAAGTTTTTGTTCGATCATTGAACAAAACTGTTTGCAATCTCAATGTTTGAATGTCTACTTTGTATGCTTTAATTTTGTAATTTGAACAACTATTTCTAGGATGACAATATGTAATCTATTAACTAGTGATTTCTTACTGTATATTTTTTCTTGAAATTCTGTATTACTTGTATCCTTTTACTGTTTTTTTTTTCTCTTTAAGTAAAAAAAAAACTAATGGAGCATTTGTGTGCAACTGTGATGAATTTGCCATGTGCGTGTTATTCAAGCATTGAAATAAATCTTAAATTTTGACTAGACCCCTTTTAAAAAATAACATCTCATAGATAATTCTAAGTTATAGAATTAGCTGATATTTTCATTTTTATAATGGTGTATTTATTAGTTATAGAATTTATACTTTGTTGCTTTCTCTTCATATTTACTTTCCCTACTTTTTAAAAATAATGAATGACCTTATCTCTTCCGTATTCATCTTATAGAGGAAGTTATGTTTCTTTTGTGAAAAGAAACTGCTTGTAAAAGGTGAGGCTCATTGACCATATTGAGATATAGCTGTTACATAACCAACATCAACCCTGCATTTTTGCTGAGTCATTAAACAGTTACAGTATTAAATGCAGCAGAGAACTACGACTTTCAATGACAGCGACATCTGAAAGATTATGTAGTTTTATGTTTATTATTGTTGTCTTACTATCTTCGAGTCTTAAAACATTTGCCTCTATCCCAGCTTGCAAGTCACACACATTTACACATACACACACATGCGCGGGCGTGCGTGCTTATTGACTTATGGTGATTCTGAGTAAACGTGAATATTAAAAAAAGCAAAGCCATGGGGCCAAAGATTTAGCTCAGCAGCATAAGCACCTGCCTGACAAGCATGAGGTTGTAAGTTTCCACCCCTTTAATAAATAAATAAGCAATACAAATAAATAAATGAATAAAGAAAACAATACAATACAATATAGTACAATACAATGGTAAAGCCTGGTTAAGCCTGAAAAGTTCTTTAGTATTTTGTGTTGTATTTGCTTCTGTATTATCTAAAATGAACAGTTTATAGCTTATCAACATAATGTCATAAATTTAAGAAATAGAATGATTACAGGAAAATACTATTTTGCAAGGTGAAACATTTTAAACTATGTTAGAATCCCAAGAAATGTGGAACTTCATACGAAGGTGACAGCTGTATTTTTCTCTTTTCTAATCTATTTTTGCAGAGTATGGTAACATTTCTTTTAAAACAGACATTATCATGTGTTTAGTGTTCATTAATTCACTTCAGGCTCATTTCTTATACTGCTTAATAAGGTGAACATAGTAAAATTGCCCTGATAGCATATATCCAATCTGTATCATCAGAAAATCTGATTTTTAAGTAGGAGTACTAAGTGTATTTGACAGAAGTTTGCTGCTTGATTGAGATACCCTTTTATGTCATATCCAAACCAAGTTTTCTGATTCTATGTCATGTCATTTCTTTGGTTTCATTTGTTACTTATTTATTTTGCTAGTGTAGTCATGTGAAACATGAGAACTACACAAATCCATAGTTCTGTTTCCTACCTATGTACTTTTTTTATATTGTTCCGAATGCCTGGGATAACTTTTCTTGCCTTTAGCTTGCCATCACCTCTTCTCAGTTCCAGGTTTTTCGTTTTTTTTTGTTTTTGTTTTTGTTTGTTTGTTTTTATCGGTACCAGGGATCGAACTCACGATTGCCTGCTTGCAAGGGAGGCGCTTATGCCGCTGAGCTAAATCCCCAGCCCCTGTTCCAGGTTTTTCATCTGTCAAATAAATACCAATCTCTCTAGATTATTCTTAAATGACAAAATTCTTTACTTTCCCAGGTAGATGGTCATGTGCCCATTTTGTTTTGCGTTTATATTTATGGGTTTTTTTTTTTTTTGAGTGTTTATAGCCTATTAATTTGTGAGCTCATTGTAATTTACATTGTTCCTGCTCAAGGAATTAATGCATGAATAAATAATAAAGTAAAAACTCATTAGGCATTTAAATGTATAATACTTTCTCTGAACATTATTAGAGTAGTATGATTAATTTGAGGTTCCTGATCAGCTACCAAAATGTACTTTGCCATAAACATAATTCTGTTTGTCTGAATGTAGATTCCCATTAAAACTTACATGCATACATATTTGTTTTGATCTTTATTTTTTCCTTTTGTGTTTATAGGCGGAAGCTCACAAAATTGTCCCTTATCTTCAGTCACATGCTGGCAGAAATCAAAGCAATATTTCCTTCTGGTCAGTTCCAGGGAGATAACTTCCGTATCACAAAAGCAGATGCTGCTGAATTCTGGAGAAAGTTTTTTGGTGACAAGTAAGTAAAACTCTATTTTTTTTAAATTTGGATTTGTCTGTGAAGGTGATATAGCACTGGCTCCAGGTGCTTATATATAGATTTTATTGAGTATTTTGAGAATGTATTTGTGTATTTTTGGAGAACAATTTAATTTATTGGTAATTTTTCTGATGTAGCCATTAAAATATGCCTCAATAATAATGAACTGGTTTTGTTATTATAAAGTAAAAGTCAAGGTACCCAGTATTATGTATTTTATGAGAATTCACTGGATCAGTTGCTTGGTTAAGCAAAAGTAGTATATAAGAGAAGCAGATAAAAGATACCGTATCAGAAACATGATACAGTATCAGAGGCATTCTGTGTTATATACAGAAACAGATGTACGTAAGAACATGTGAGAAAGTAGAAACTTGTTATAATTTAGTATATATCTAACACCATTCGTATGACTTAAAAACTAGAAAAAAATACAAACTATAAAAATACCATAAATAAGTTGCTTTGACAATCCAGAGAGAGAAATAGTAGTTGTAATACTGCAAAAATCAGGGGCTTCTTCCCATGGAGGGGGTTTGTAAAGTTTGTTTAAATCTAAACTGTAGTGTGAGCAGGTCCTAACACCTTGGCCAATCCTTTTGTTTTTTTAATTGAACAAAAAGTATTATGAGTGAACAAAGTAATTTCGTGATGATTTCATAAAAATAATTATATTGTAAGGTCTTTAGGTAAAGTTACTTTCTAATAGATTCTGTTCAGACACCAATTCTTTTGAGTTTGGTAAATAATAGGAATTGTATATTTAAAGTCAGAATAATTAGCAAAGATTTGTAACATTTTAATGAGAGAGCTCTTGGGTGATGAAGTGGGCATCAGGTGATGAAGATGGTTTCCTCAATATCCTTTAAGGGTCCTATTAATGAGAAAACACCTATGTGATGTTTCTGAATGTTAGTAACACTTTAACAGTAAGGAGAAAGACTGGTATAGTTTACTGTTTTGATTCTCTGCTTAAAAGTCCATTTTTTCATAGCTGATAAGATTGGACATACAAAATATTTTTGTGTACTTTTGATCATTTTGGTGCTTTGACAGTGTGAACTACATGTAACATTGATTTTCATCAGTTTTTGTTTTGTTTTGGTTGCAAAGTGCTGTATTTATTTATAGTTGCCAACATGACTACATTATACTTACATAGAGTAATTAGTGTTTTAATGTATATGTAATTTTTTGATTTCAAAAATATGACCATCTAGGTTTTATTTTGAATGATTTTTAGGCAGTAAAGAAGACTATATCATTATTGCCCTTAAGGTACACTCCATATTCTAGAACTCTTTCAGCTGTTTATAATGTTCCTATATCCAGTCAGAATTAAGAAATTCAAAAATTAAGATCCCCATGTCTTTATCTGAATTAGATTAGCCAAGAAGTAGTTAAATATTTTTGAAAAGTGGAAAGCAGGACAGGCGTGGCAAGTCTGAGAGGAAGAATGGGTGGACTTGCATTTGTACTACAACTCTAAGCCGAGGGCAGATGGTTGGAAACCTTCAAAATAGACATTCTCATAAAAATTAAGAAGTGTACAGACTAAATTGTTTATGATATTTCTTTTTTGAAAATCACAATTTCTGATGAGGTCTAATTTTTTTTTTTTTTTTTTACTTGGAAGGTTAATGAAGCAATGGAGATTGTTCATAGGTCTTTCAAGAGTTTACTTTGCTGGCCTCTTAAGTCAGAGAACTATGCATCTGAGATGTCAGTGTTTTCCTTTATTTATAACCATAGACATTAAGGGCTGAAATTTCTCCTCAGCTGCTACAGGAGAGAAATTCCTAGTGCATCAACTGGGAGGTTCTTAAATACTGGTTAAGTAGTCTCTCTACCTTCCAAATCCTTTTACCTTTGTCTTCTGTTTTCACTGATTCCAGAAAGCTGCATAATCTGGCTTGAACATTTTTATTTTCAAGATGAGAGCCAAATTTCAAGATGCTTTTGGTACTTACACATGTGTCCATAGTCATTTAAATTAATGATATTCTGATGGAGATTATTGGAGAAACTTCATATATTCTCCCAGGTTTTTCACCTTGTAGTTCCACAAAATTTTGTTGAATTAATGAACAAATAATTGGTATAACCTTTCCAATTCTTGGGTTGAATTCTTTTATCTTCATTATGCTATTATACTAATTTGTAGTTTCCTTCAACTTGATTTTTGCACTGAATCATCGCTTGTCATTTATCTCTGTGCATTTTGGTGCTGTGTGTAAACACTTTCATTTATCCCTACCAATGCCTTTAAACTTGAAAAACAGCTTTATTTGCTGAAACAGAACCATTGAGAACTTGGTTTTAAAAACAGCCAAACAGTGTCTAAATTAAAGATTATTATTGTGACTTGCGTTTTATAAAGAACAGTCAGCAATAACAAAACATTGAGATGAATTAAAATTAGGAACAAACTATTATTCATAGGACTTTATTAAAGTCATAAAGACAACTTCCAGATTAGGACCTCATAAAAGCAAACAGTAGAAAAATACACACTATAACAACCTAATGTTTATTTCGGTGCTTCACTTCTAACCTTTTTGAAATCACAGCAGGATTTAACCTCTTTGCAGATGGCCTGCACCTGCCAGCCAACAAGCTTTGTCTGCTTAGAGGCCCAAGATAACTAGTAACATAAAATGTGTCATAGCAGCCTGATTGGGAATTTGATATATTTTATGCAAATTTTCTTAATAATTCAACAGTTGAATCATACTGTTTCTTTGTGTAAGCAAATAAAAGTGACAGTATTGAATAAACATTGTCTAACTAGGTTACGCAAAATGAGTCAGTACTAAACTGATTTTCAAAATCTGGAATAGTTTTGTAATGCAAAAAATTTAAGTTGAAGGCAAAAGAGGCTCATAAAAGTGCATAACTGGGTATTAGATAAGAAAGAAACCTAGAAAGAGAAAAAGGAAAGGAGGGAAGGAACAAAAGGAAAGTAGGAAGAGATTAGGGACAAAAACATGAAAAGAATATTGATGTGTTTGGATTTTGGGTGGCATTTATTTTGTAAGCAAAACAGGTAACAGTTGGAAGTTAATCATGAATTGGCCAAAAATGTTACTCAACATGAATCAGTGGCTTCTCTTGAGTCTTCTTAGGTTCTCATTCTTTCTGTACTGACTTTGAGATTCTTTTTGTTAAGTTCAAGGTCATACTCCTCATTTGATGAATCCAACGGTTTTTTAAGTGATATGCCTGTCTTCAGTGACACTTTTCTTCTGAAATTGGTGATTTCAGTCTTTTACCAAAGTGCCCCTGTGGATATTGAACTAGGGTAAAACCCAAGTTTCCATTAATAGTGAGTTTTAAGAACTGTTTCCGTTTCTGTTTTCTGGCTTCATTTCTTTGTACCTGGCTTATCTGCCTCCAAAAAGAAAGAAGAGTAATTCTCTGCTGATGTTTCCTACCACTGCTTGAGTAGCCAGTCACCTATGCCACCTATGCCACGCATTCACTCTTGCCACTTTGGAAGCTTTCTCTGGCCCCCTGCTTTCTACAGTGAATACATGTGCCTTTGTGGCCAGGTACCTGGGCTACATCCACCTGACTAAATTACAGTGCATTGCTAGCATCTTTAATATCCCAATGGAGAAGTTTGTAACAGATTAGAAAGTTCCTTTGAAGGTGGAGACTTTCTTTCTCTCTTATATCTGTTTTTCAGAGCCTTGCGTATTTCCTGGAATGTGTGGGTACTAACACTTGTTAACTGGATGGATGGATGGATGATGATGCCTCTTTTCTGCAATGACTTTGCTACAGATCGACCTATTTACCGTCAGTTCCTGTGGTTCTACCCTATGGATGCCTGTTTTTCCTCTTCCTTTTCTTCCATGTCAGAATTTTGACATTTCTTAAAATCCAGTTTAGAATTCCCTTTTTCTGTGCAGTTCTTGGTCATATATGACTTCTCACACATTCTTTGTGTTCTTACTGTATTTTAGACATTCTTATATTATTGTGTTAAGTTATGGCATGTATCTAGAGGTCCCCCTAAAGCTTTATGTGCTCATGGATGCAACTTTCCATAGTTGAGTGGACTTAGGGCAGCCTTGGCAAACCTATGACGTTCATGCTGCAGCAGGCTGTTTGTATCACTGAAAGCTCTGAAAGGTTCACCATTACTAATCTGAGGCTTGTAATACTGAGATTAAGGGTTTATGGTGTGAAGTTATTCCCCTAATAGAATTAGTGTACTTCTGGGTATGGCCAATAGAAGCACGATGTTGGGTGTGGGTGGCACCAGTCAATAGGCTTTTATAGGGCATAAGGGAAGGAGAAAGATAACCTTGTTGCTTGCTGCCTTCTGTCTGCCATCCTGTTTCCCTGTGATTGCCTTCTGGCATGAAACACACTGCCTTGGAGTCACCCAGCTATGGACTAAAACCTCCACAACCTGAGAGCTGAAATAAACCTTTCCTCTATTTAACATGTGAGTGTCAGGTATTTTTTCTGAGTAAGAAAAATAACTGAGACAGTGTGTGTTTGTTGAATGGATTTTACTTGCTTGATTTTTATGGCTCTTTAATGAATTTTTACCTAAATTTATTGAAAAGCAGACATTGTTTGTTTGGGTTGTCATATATCAGAGTTTATTGTCAATGCTTTTACAAGGGCTAGCTCCAGTATGATCTTTAAACTATTCTTTGAATGATTCTTGAATGAGTGCATCATGTACTGTATATGTTAGAGACATTTGTTATTGATTAAATACATTGAGTACATGATACAGTATTTTTACCACTTGCTCTCCCTTATGTTCTGTTTTTCATTCTCATTGAGATATTGATTCTCTTCTGATGCATCAATTACAAATTTCTATGGCTTTGCTTATGTTGTTCCTACCATTTAATGATGTTTATAATCTCTGGAAAAGGTGTCTAACTCTAATCCTTGAAAAGTTGATCTGATTCATGCTTCTCTTTATTGTTATTATTAAATATCTTAATTGTTAA